TTTCACGGTATCACCTTTCGGTGAAAGTATAAATATTAAATTGCAGCTCGGCTTTTGATTCGAAGTGTACAGGATGTACATTGATGTAAGTTTACAACTGAACAGCGCGAAAAACCCGTTTTTTGGGGGGAAGGGGGGTTTTTTTTTTTATGGTATGATTCACAAACCATACAAAACAAACAGCTGCTATAGAAATTTGGGGAAATAAATACCGGGCCTGTTGCATCTTCAGTCTATACAGTGGCAGGTGCTCCTGTAGTCCTGCACTAGATTTAGCGCTTCTGAAAGGGCGAGGAGCACACCTTTGGAATGAAACCGCGATAGTTACTGCTCTATCACGTTATAACATCACACACTGGACGGATTTGATACGTTTCATTGATCGTATGAAAATATAATCCAATATAATCTGTTATCAAGAGGAATCAAATTTACATTGTCAGATGGAACAACCTCAGTACCCGGTTTTGCTTCCGCAAATTTACACACACACACACAACAAAAAAAACACATTTCCAGTCTCATACAACTGCCCGCTGACCCGTATTTCATCGTGCACACCGCCGCCAGCGTGTTTGCTCCTCATCTTACCCAGCAGTGTGAGAGCCGAGGAGAGCAGACTGGCGCACGGAGACCCTGGGGGACTGCAGCCCATCCTGAGTCCAGCTCGGAGCCGAGGAGCGTTACGGATGGTGCCGGCTGACAGCAGAGCAGCCGCGGTCCCACTACTGCTGTGCAGACGCAGCGCAGCGATAAGAACGACAGTTAACCCCCACAGAAACCACAGCGCTCTTGTAGACCCGAGTCGCCAAAACGGGGGCTGTTCAGAGTCAAACAAATAAACAACAAGCCTCAAAAGAGCACTTTCGGGACCCCTTCAAGAAAAAGACCCCTTGTGCCTGGTCAGAGAAACATTCTCAGGACTGCTGAAACACAGTCACTTTTTTATTGTAAATAACTATGACCGTGAAGTTGAGTCATTCATCTATAGTTGTTAATAAAAAAAAAAACTTTGAAGATTTCTATCTGTAAAGTTACCCTTACCACCACAGTTTACATAACGCGCACACAGTAATCTCTTACAGCAGAGGGGGAAAAAACGTGAACTGAAAGAACTTCACGCTGAAGATAACATAGGCCTACATCATAGACAAAAAATACACGTATCCCACAGTATACCCCTAGATACAGTATATAGTAAAAGTGGGGAGACAGTTTTGAGACGTAAAGACGTATGTGTGCAATCAAGTCATGTTCTGCCCCAGCCTGTATACATATCTATGTCAATATTTCTGTAGGTGAAGGTAGTTTCTGAAAAAAAAAAAACCAATTTGCAGAGACGCCCGTTTAGTAGTAATGGTTAATATACCACTCCGTACCTCCTCTGATTTCATGCAATAAGTTGTCTGTGACACTTCCTGAAGTAACAAATCGACATTTAAAGATGTTGTTTTAAAAAAGGCGCCGCTGGTCATTATAGACTGGCCAATACTGAATTCACGAACGCAGTACGTCGGGACATATTGCTTTTGGCCCCACTGAATGGTTTGTTATCCATGAAAAGGACAATGATGTCAGTCTTTATTCCGATATGTTTCTTTTTATATCTATTCATATCAATAATAAGATAAGCGTCTCTGAGGACACAAAATCACACAGGGCGACAGAATACTAGCGATAATATGGATTGAATATATAGTGGATCCTAACAATGACACGATTAACAAATATATTTTAAAATAACCCCCAGTTCTGCTTACTAATCAAGCAGAAACAAAGTTAGTAGTATGCCTATGTTGTATGTCATGGGTAACCAGTTCACTATATAGTGCATATCCAAGCAGATGCATGCCTGTGCAACTCAATTTCACACAAACCCACAGCTTGCAACGCTGACGAGAGGTCAAAGCTGGGTTTGGTAAGTTTTTTTGTACTTCAAACTGGAGGAAGACAAGGGATGGAAAAATTTAATTGAAAAGAAATGTCCTTTCGAAGAATTTTCCCCGCAATTCTCTGAAAATACTTCGCACAACTCAGTGAGGCATACACAAAGCCTTATGTGACCTAAATACCGCTACTGCGCATCCAGTGTACTGAACAATGTTGCAAATTGTCTGCAGTATAAAAAGAACTGTGAGTGTACGTCAGACCTCCCCCTCCAACACTCACAGATTGACAGCAGTTTTGTCCAGTAGCAGCAAGGCGTGGGAGGGAGTTCCTGTCTTGGTATGTCTGTGTGCAAGATTGACAGAAGACGCACTCAGACGGTGAGTTAATGAAATGTAGCTGCTAACGTCAGATAAGTTATGTATTTGCAACATCCAGCGCTTAGCTACAAATGAAACATGTGAAGCTTACTCGATAAACAGCTGTTAACCGTTACCAAATCGTGTTTGATACATTTTCAGTGTGTTGGTTTGTTTCCGCAAAGGAAGTGTCTTGGGAGCTTCATTTACTGAGCACAGCGGTGTTCAGTGTTGGAGTATAGATACACAACATGCGGTGTAGGTTAAAGGTTCGTAGTACATGACTCTTAAGGCAGCTTCCAATTCAGCACACACAAGTCAAACCTCTTGGGGGCTTTGAAGTTATTTTGTTTAATCGGATTGTTAATTTCCTTAATATTTACAATTAAAGCCATTAGTTTAATAATTATAATAAAGCATAATTCACACAATAATAAACGTTTTTTTGCGTGTAATTGGACGAAACGCTGTCAGTGTTGTGCAACACTGAAAGAATATCACCTTCACCCTAGTGTCTCTAATGTTAGGTATATTATATTAATTTAATGCATTCAAGTAGTAAATGTAGAATTTTACACAGTCTTTATGTTTCAGAAACTAAACACCAAATTTCGATTAAGCATTTTCTTTGTGCACGTAGAATCGGGTTTTCCAAGTAAAGGAGTTAAAACCTTGGAATCGTCTTATAATAGGGGAGGGGTATCAGCGAATCAGCGCTATGATAGTGCGTTATTTATATTTAAACTCCAACACCTGCAGCGCTAACCGTGGGTCTCCGAGTGCTTTTCCATAGCCGGGATCAAGGTTCCGTCTGTAAGGTCGGCTGTGTTTTATTTCAAGGAGTCTGCGCCACCGGCGACCCCGTCTCCTTCGCATTTAGAAATGCCGATACGCCTTCGCTGACGCTGCCATATACATAATTATACTCCTGTTCTGAATGATCAAGGAGCAAGCAGAAGCCTGCATGAGATACCCTTATGTTTTTTTAGTGAAAGTGCCATTAAACGTTTACGCGAACTAGCGTCTCATTTTAATTTCCCGGAGGACCTAGTGCCTTCTGGGTTTTGATACAGCTGGACAACAGACCTAACAAGTTTCTCAGTTAAACATTATATGGGCATTTTCGTTCTCTTTTACAGCTGATTAGTCACAGCATTCACTCCATCAGAGACACCGTTACCTATAAAACACTACAGAGTTCGATAAGGAGTCTTGCAATTAATGAGTTAATTAAATATTTAGACTCACTGCATAACTGAGATCTTGAGTGAACCAACCAAAAAAACCTAACATTGGACCCTCAAGGTATTCAATAATCCCTAAAACGCTGAATGAACACACTAGATCTGGCTGGATTGGAGGTGACTAATCCAATTCTTTTAGTCTTGAAATATTCACAGGCAGGACCTTAGAAACAAACCTTATGCACTTTGCTTTTCACTTTTTCAAGTGACCCCCCTTTTTTGAAAGGGGGTGCAGAATAACACATTTGGGTTAAAGCATTTCTGGATGGTCTTGACATCAGTAACCAGGAAGCCATACTCCACAGGTGAAGTTAAAAATGTGCATGTGGGCAGGCAGGATATTAAAATCATTTTATAAAAAGCATTTTGTCTGTGGAATGAATGTAGGACTTTGTTTTTTCAGATTAAAGCCACAAATTCACTTTCTGCCTTCTGTCCTTCACTTTCTTCTTGTCCTCAACAAGTAGGCTGAAATATCAGTGTACTCGTTGATTCAAGATACTCATGGTTTTAAAAGATGATCAAGTTGCTGTAGTAGTTGAGTATTTTCAGAACTGTGTAGTCTTCTGTAGAATGAGTGTAAACAACAGCTGTTGAAAAATAAATAGGTGTGTATCATGTGCTTTGTCTGTCTATCTCGCTGTATCTGGTGAAAACATATTTGATTATGAATGTTGGTCAGAATTTCTTTTCGGTTCCAGAATGGAAAGACGCAAAAATGGACAGTGGGACGATGAAGGAATTGGTGTATGTGTGAAAGACACTGACATATTGAATATCTGTGGAAATCTTCTCTAGATACGCAGGAAATATTTGTCAGAATATTCACGGTCTGCAGTAAGAAAGCACAAGCGCTGGTCTCGGGTGCCACCGATCTGAGGAAAATGCGAAAGCTCTGATTTTATTTTTCCGGTTGTCTCAGCGATCGGCGCTCTCCCTCCCTGCTGCCTGTGGACGGCGAGTCACCGTTGGACTCCTGTGATGAATCATTAACTGCAGAGGAAAGGAAAACAGCCTCAGTAACACAGGTAGAGCAAACAGCGGGGGGGCAGAGAGAACAGGGGGAAAGGCTGCACTCAGCAAAACCACTGAACAAAACAAAGACTGAGAGGAGAGAGAGAGGATGGTGGCCTAATTTATGAGAAGAGAGACCACACAACCTGCCTCCCACTCCCCCAGGCCCTAGGAAGATATTAAGCTACCACTGAGTAGATTAAGAACCCAGGCGGACAAGATAAATGACTTCCACTTTCCACTGCCTGCTTTTCTGCCTCCTCTGCACAGCCCTGAAGATAGACAGGGGACAGCCGAGCTGAGCCTGATTGACCATTAACCCCTCTATTGATTGCGGCATCGTTTTCTGTATCAGGGCTCAGACCCAAAGTTCACCAGGCTCCGCTGCAGCGCTGTTCAGTCTCTCCAGGAGTGCGAAGCAGGCAGCCTGTTGACAGCCCCAGGTGTCGGCGTTTTTCTTTCCCCTGCTGGTCTCCCTGAAGCTCTCTCCTCTCTCGGCGGGATTGTACCTCTTTGCCGTGACACCCGTTTGTTCCTCCAGCTGAAGGAAACCATGGGGGCGGCGGGATATGGATACTACCGCGCCACTATTTTCATGGCCATGTTCGTGGGCTACACCTTGTACTACTTCAACCGGAAGACGTTCTCCTTCGTGATGCCTTCCGTCATGGAGGAGATCGAGCTGGACAAAGACGACCTGGGTGAGAGAGGCCTTCTCCCGCCTGCTCGTCTCGCGTGCCCGCTCTGTGATGTGCTGGTTTGAGTGCGTAGTGAGTGAGTTCTGAAGCGTTGCCATGGTACAGAGTGGCACGGTAGTGGGGTTTCACAGTGCTGGGGCCCTGGGTTCGATTCTGGACCCGGGGTGTTATCTACTTGGAGTTTGGATGTTCCCCCTGTCTTTGCATGGCTTTTATTCTGGGTGCTCGGGTTTTCCTTCCAGGAACATGCTGGTGGGTACATTGGCTTTTGGGCAAGTTGGCCCGGGTGTGAGTGAGTGTGTGTGTCTGCCATGCTATGGACTTGCCTCCCATCTTGCCTTGTGCCTGTTGCCTGCTGGGATAGGTGTTATGTCAGCGGACAGGGCCCGTTTGTGTCTGTGAAGCTGTCGTGCTTAGATTTTGGCTGTGCACTGGGGTGTTTTGGTGGGTTTGTGCCCTTTTCTGTTCAAGTGCACAATAAAGGGCAGACGTCTGTGAAACCCCTCCACCTCAGTCCCTGGTGTCCTGCAGCATAACAAGCTCCCCTGCAGGCTTGAACTGTAAGCAGTTAGAAAATGGAAGGGTGCTGGGGTCCATCTAAAAAGGACCTTTTCTCACCCAAGATGGAGGCCTTGACCCTTTTCTACTTACAGTACATCTGTGTGAGAACCAGACTGTGGCACTGCGTTGAAAGTGCTGTTTCCTTGTATTGGTCAAATTGAAAAACGATACTGCTTTTCTCTAGATTCTGCCCACGTGTTCCTCCACATCACAGCCCATCCTCCTGATTTGCGGCGACGCTGGCTGAGTACCCATTTTGAAAAGCGGAGCCCATCAATGTCTTTCTCTCCTCCCCCCCGGGTCAGGATTGATCACCAGCAGCCAGTCGGCGGCGTACGCGATCAGCAAGTTCATCAGCGGCGTGCTCTCGGACCAGATCAGCGCCCGCTGGCTCTTCTCCATCGGCCTGTTCGCGGTGGGCGCCATCAACGTGGTCTTCTCCTGGTCGTCCAGCGTGGCCGTCTTCGCGGGGCTGTGGTTCCTGAACGGGCTGGGCCAGGGCCTGGGCTGGCCGCCCTGTGGCAAAGTGCTGCGCAAGGTCAGCTCCTCCGGCCCGCCCTGTCACTCGAGCAGCGCTGGCTTCGCTCAACAAGCCGCAGGGCTCTGCGCGCTGCAGAACCAGCGACTTCTGGAGCGTCTGTATGAAGGTCCCGAGACAGTCTAAACTAGCTACAAAATGTTGGTGTACATAAAAAGAAATTTGATTTGACCCTGTAGTGTTTAACTGTGCTCAGGGGTTTTATAATAATAATAATAATAATAATAATAATAATTGCTTACACTTATACAGCGCTTTTCTGGACACTCCACTCAAAGCACTTTACAGGTAATGGGGACTCCCCTCCACCACCAGTGTGCAGCCCCACCTGGATGATGCAACGGCAGCCAAAGTGCGCCAGAATGCTCCCCACACACCAGATCTCAGTGGGGAGAACAGAGTGAGGAAGCTAGTTCAGAGATGGGGATGATTGATAAAGGCCAATTGGAAATTTGGCCAGGACGCCGGGGTAATGCCCCTACTCTTTTCGAGAAACACCCTGGGATGTTTAATGACCACAGAGAGTCAGGACCTCGTCTCATCTGAAGGACGGCACCTTTTTACAGTCCCTGTCACTATACTGGGGTATTAGGCCCCTCATTGACCTCAGGGTGAGCGCCCCCTGCTGCCCCCAATAACCCCTCTTCCAGGGGTAACCTTAGTTTTTCCCAGGAGTCTCCCATCCAGGTACTGACCAGGCTCACACCTGCTGAGCTCCAGTGGGGCTGCCAGTTGTGAGTTGCAGGGTGACATGGCTGCTGGCCCTTTATTGAATGTTAGCTTTCACTTCAGGAGGCAGAGCTGTGCACACCCTGCACACCCTGCACTCCCTCACCTTTGACCTTCCAGTCTTGGAGACAGTTCACCCTGGCACCCTGACACACAGAGAGGGTGGGGGAGCTCAGCTGAGTGTCCACCCTGGCTTCTGTTTCGCCTGCTGCTCTAATATTTAGCATAATAGTTTTCTTCAATAAGAAGACACCGAGACGTTTTGCACATCTGAATAACTATCGGACACACTCCTATCTCCAGTTGCACACTGTCCACAGTGATGAGGGAGATCGATCTGTATTTTAGTAAAGGAACAAAGGGAAAAGCCTCTGATTTTCTGTGCCCCTTTAGTGCACACTGTTGTTCAGGTTTTTGGTTGTTGTCCAGCAGTCCTGATGATGGGACAGTCTGTACTGGGTGATTCTCGGGGGAATAAATAGACTTTGGCATTTGCCAGTGTGGTGTGTGCAGGGGTAAGGGAGAAGGGCTCGAGTTGCAGTGAAGAGTATTTATAAGATGGATCCCGTGCTCTGCCCTATCCTGAAGAAGGTAGTCCTTTAGCCTTGCCCATTATTTCTATTAATATCCTACTTTTATTCTTAGTAGCTGAAGAGGATGAATGAGAGTAGGCATAGTATTGGATTTGCACGATTAAAGGGCAAAGTCAGTTTATCACAGCAAAAGCGTTGTTTTCCTAAGTCTGTTAACATGCGCCTTCCCTCTCTGAGTTGGGCAGACTGTTGTGGGCCCAGAACCTGTGTTTACACTGTTTCTGACCTGGACAATGTGTTTACTGTAGGCCATTCCTACAGGTTCCTTTTCCAGCTATTTTGTGACACATTGCTACAGGGCTCTGGTATCTTCAAATCAGAACACCGCTTACCAACAAACTAGCTTAGACAGGTTTTGTAAAAGGCTGGACATTTTGCGGTCTTTCAGTGCGGTGCATCCTGGGAAGTTTCTCAGTGTGAAAGCACGTCTCTCTCCTCTCCGCCCTCAGTGGTTCGAGCCGTCTCAGTTCGGGACCTGGTGGGCGGTGCTCTCCTGCAGCATGAACCTGGCGGGGGGGCTGGGCCCGCTCATCGCAACGGTGATGGCGCTCAGCTACAGCTGGCGGACCACCCTGTCCCTGTCGGGCCTGACCTGCGTGGTCACGGCCTTCTTCTGCCTGCTGCTCATCAAGAACGAGCCCTCTGACGTCGGGCTTCCCAACGTCGAGCCCGGTGCCAAGAAGGGTAAAGGAGGTAACGCTGACACGTTTGATAACGGACTGCTTGACACTGGCTAACTGACTGGCCACAGACTGACTGACACAATTAATAACGGACCGGCTGACACAACCACTGCGCGACTGGCAGACTGGAGTGACGCCTACCCACACACACGCGTAGCTGGGGCAGAAAGACACACTGATTTTCTGCTAGATTGACTTCCTGCCAAACTGAGAGAAGTGTGAAACCGCTTGACTACCAGCTACACTTACAAATATGTATGTTTGTTTGGCAGTAACATTGACCTATTGAGCTGGTAAAATACATGCTCTTGTTGTAGTTTTCTGAGTCTCAGTGACTCCGTAGTTCACCTGCTGGCTGTTCTGTATCCCACATAAAAAATGCTAATACACATTGCCTTCTACAGTATATGTCTGCCTATATCTCTACTCTTCTCTGTCTCTTCCCTGCCCATAGGCAGAACTCTACCAGCACAGGCTGTAGTTTTTTTTTTTTAAAGTGAATGAGTGTGTGAGAGATACTGACTCCTGTTAATAGTGAACTTAAAGTCCCAAACACACTAGAGAGCAGGCATGAAATATTTCAACATGCACTATGAACAGCACAGTGCTGTCCTTTACTGACTGCAAATAAAAGATTTGTTTTTCCACTCGCCTGAAAGGTTCACTGAACTCCAGAGAAGCATAGCTATGAGCATGGTTGTTGCTTTTACAGAAAGAGTTGTTTTGACGTCTTTAAGATTAGATCAGATTTTGGACCCTTTTTTCCCCACTCTCGCAGACTTGCACTTCAGTCCAAAACTTTGAGTGATGTTGATCAGGTGAAAGCCATCTAAAATAAATTCACTGAATTCACTTTCCAAGTAGAGGCAGATTCTTAAAAAAAAAAAGAAAAAAAAAATCCCTGATCAGCCATTTTGTACTTGATGCCCTGAAAGGCAAACTGTAACTGCAAGAGATCCACTCTTCCTCTCCTCTGTCTCCCCCTCCAGGCTCCTCCTCCAGCGAGGAAAGCACCCTGAAGGAGTTCCTCCTGTCTCCCTATCTGTGGGTGCTGTCTTTTGGGTACCTGGTGGTGTTTGGGGTGAAGACGGCCTGCACTGACTGGGGACAACTCTTCCTGATCCAGGAGAAGGCTCAGTCCACCCTCATGGGTACCCCAGCTTGCGTCCGCTCACTGACACCTTCACTCTCGATTCATCTCGCCAGAAACGCTCTCTAGGGTAGTTGCTAACACACGCTCCCAGTTATAATACCCTTGCAATGGATATATCATCTCTTCCAGCAACATGTAACTTTGATCACTAGTCATTACTGGCTACGGTAAATACACTTCAAAAGGAAGCAAAAACAGTGTCCAAGAATCAGATTCATTGTGAATGTTTAGGGAGTAATTTGAAGTAGAATAGTTTTGGCTTAACCCTGCTTAGTTAGGGAGCAGCCCCCTGGCCATGACTTGATAAGGAGAGGAGTGAGTAAGGTGTAGGGCAAGGTGGAGATGCATGCATGCATGGAGATGCAAGTGTGAGAAAGAGGTGTCTGGCTGACATATATACCTATATATAACTGACTACTTTGATAATGATGATTGGTGCCAAGCCATGCAGAGCCTTAAAGGTGAGCATGAGGAGTTTGAAATTGACATGTAACCTGACAGGAAGCAAGTGCAGGGACTCCAGGATAGGAGTAATGTGATCACTTGCACTAAACTGGTCAGCATTCTGGCTGCCGAATTTTGGACATTCTGGAGTTTGTTCACTGCGGATTTAGAAACCCCAGCGAGTAGATCGTTACAGTAGTCAATTCGGGAGGAGACAAATGAGTTGCTCATGGTGGTGAGGATGGTTTACTACAGATGGGTGAAGGTGGCTTGTTTGTCATTATCCCTCCTGAATGTCAGGAAGAGCTTGACGTATAAGGCGAGATGAGAAAGAGAACCTTGCGGTGCTCTTGGACTGTGTGAATGAGTGAAAGGCACACCCCCCTGCTGAGGTGTGCGTGTCTCACTCTGGGCGTCTCTCCCACAGGCAGCTCCTACATGAGTGCTCTGGAGGTGGGGGGGCTAGTGGGCAGCATCGCCGCGGGATACCTGTCGGACAGGGCAGTCGCCCGGGTGAGTTGGGGGGGCAGACATGGAACAGCTCATACACAAACGCACCACCCCAGACTCGTCTGAAATGAGCTCTACGACACTTAAGTAATTTTTAAAAGGTTCACCAGTGTCGTTCTAGTTAAATGTTCCAGAAACCTTGGCTTAGTGCCATCAGCCTTACTGTGGCTCGCACCTCTGTTTTTGTGAAAAACAAACAAACACGTAAAGCCCATTTTATTATAGCACGCAGTGATAGGGTCTCTGTGCCTGCTGGGTTCCGTTCCAGCTCAGCTTTTAAAGACCTAAATCAGATGATTATTGGCTTAATGGGACCAAAGTACAGTAAACTGCCTGGTATTCGGATGAAACGGAAGGGAACAGGTTCTGGGTACAAGGGTTTTTCGAAAAGAGGAGATTAAAGCAAACAGATACTCAGCGACAACTGGCCCAAAGCTAAATGATTAGAACAACACTGCAATGACAAAAAGAAGTAGTGTAATAAATTACTGGAATGTAAATATGGTACAACAAAAAAATCAGTATTCATGATCCCCTAACAAAACTCTATTACAGTAATAAAGTAATTCTGGGCAGTTAAGGATAAATCCACTTTTAATTTTAACACCTGACATGAATGTTAGATACAGTACTTAACGTAACAGTTTTTATCAGCTGTTGACACTGGTGGGAGGTGAGCAAAACACCACAGTGCGTTCTATTACCGAGTATTGTTTTTTTATTTTAATGTTAATTTTATATTTATTATTCATTTCTTTGATTTCTTGCCGAATGCTTGAGGTTTCTGGGTACATGATTATCGGATATGAGGAACTTTACTGTAACAGCTAATCCAAGCTCTTCAGGTGCTGGTGTTTTGAAAAGACCTAAATAACCCACAGACTGTATAGCTTATTCCAGCTTCAGTATCTTGAATTGACATTATAAGAGACATAAATTATGAAGGATTTCTGTTAAAACGATGTGAAACCTCTCTGCCAGTATTTGGTGTGTTATGATAAATGTGTTCGATACGTGCTGCTGAGCTCAGGTGTTCTGTGTGACTTGTTGTTTTGTTAACTGTCTACCATAACCTCCTGTGCAGCAAGGCCTGCGTAGCCATGGCAACCCTCGCCATGGCCTCCTGCTCTCCATGATGGCTGGGATGACCATGTCCATGTATCTCTTCCGGGTCACTGTCACTCCAGAGAGCTCCAAGGTAATGTCAGAGTTCCCTGTATGACACTGAGCCTCTCTTGTAATCTCTGGCTCTCTACTTAACACGTTATTGTGACTCCAGTGTTCATCATACTGTATATAGTTTATATGAGGTCAGTAAGAACAGTAATTTTGCTTAAAGTAGAATAAATTGACTCCAGTGTTTTTCTCTCACAGAAGATCTAGAAATCTGGATAGTCAGAAACTCAGTGTTCTGCGTTTTACAGCAGTTGTGTAAATGGTTCTGTATTGTATTTTCCAGTTTCTTTACCTCTTTCTTCATCTCTTCCCTTTCTCTGACTATGGCTTCAGGACTCTGCTCTCTGGACGCTGGTCCTTCAACCTTTCTCTCTCCTCACCGGATTGTCGGAACAAGAGGTCTCTGTCTTTCAGTCTCCCCTTCTCCTGCTCTCGCTGGCATCCCCCTCTCCACATTCTTTCTGCGTCTCCTGTCTCTCCGTGTGCAACCTCTAGGGCAGACAAAAGACAAAACCCCCCCGCCCCTCCTTCCAGAGGAAATGTAACGAATAAATAGTTAAATAGTTTTAAGCCTGTCCTTTAGCAGCCTCGGAGTGTACTTTAGTTTTTGTGAGATGCACTGGGCTTGCAGGCTAGAATGCTGATGTTGTGACTATATTGGTCTCGCGAGCGCCCCACTGACAGGAATGCCTTCAAGGTCTGGCTGTGGTCTTGTACGAGTGCTTTACTAGGTGGCAGACTTGTCCTATTTTAATCGGGTGGTGTTTTCATGACTCTGGTTCTTTCTTTTCCTTCCAGATCTGGATTCTCGCTCTGGGTGCGATGTTCGGCTTTTCCTCCTATGGACCAATCGCTTTGTTCGGGGTGATAGCCAATGAGAGCGCTCCGTCGAATTTCTGCGGGACGTCACATGCTATCGTGGCTCTGATGGCCAACAGTGAGTCACTTTTCTTGTATGCTTGAGTACAGCTTATTTCACCTTGTGCAAAGAAGACTACTGGAAAGAGCAGTTCTCCTGTTTCCCCTGTCTCGAGAGCAAGAGTTTGCACGAATTGCGATGTGATGCGGCCCTTCCTGCTCACTAGTCACTGTAGTGACTAATGTAAGGTACGAGCAAATAAATACAGGTTGTGCAGCGGACACTTCACCTCAGAAATGTTCCAACATGATCTGCATGCAGAGTTAACGAGTAGTATTTGTCGACAAAACTGTCTCGAAGCCAAGAGCAATATTTCTACTGGATTATAAGAGATGTATTCACAAGCCTGCTTCTTTACAATGTAATAGACCAGCATCACGGCACCAGTAGTTTTGTTGTCTCATTCTGAATCACAGAACTTACACATACCTGGAAATTTTGTCTATTTTGTGATGTAAATTAGAGGTTTTACACGTTACTGTGTACATTTGACTTTTATTGTGGTTTGAAGTGCCCTCATCAATGCCGATTCTTTGTAACCCCAAAATGCAAAAATACTGCTGCAGCTCCTCCCTTAAAGGCTGCCCTGTAAAACCTGTCTCTGTGGCTTCGATTGCAGTCGGTGGTTTCCTCGCCGGCCTTCCCTTCAGCTCCATTGCCAAGCACTACAGCTGGGACACGGCCTTCTGGGTAGCAGAGGTCACCTGCGGCCTCACCACCCTGGGCTTCTTCCTGCTGCGTAACATGCGCACCAAGATGGGCCGCCTGCCGAAGAAGACAGAGTAAAGACAGTGCTGCACGAGCCTCGGGGAGGCCAGCAAGGATGGACTCACAGGGTCACAGTGTACATGTCACGCAGGAACACAGCAGGTCTGCCTTTCTCAGTGGATAGCCTGATACTCTTGATAAACGCCATTCAGGTTCTGGATAACTCGACGCTGCCTTACAGTGGCACTTCCATATCAATTAGTTTCATTAGGATTATTTATTGTGACTTATAATAATTACTATACTAATAATGTTAAAAGATGCGGAGATCTCATGTACCCGAGTAACGTAGGTACTGTAGGAAAATGGTTTTCACAGTGATGAGCACATTCAGTGTCACTGTATACACACACACCTCTTAGGAGGTCTAGAGTATGTTTTTTTTTTTCCACATATTCAGTTAATGAGTGATTTAGAGAATACAGAAAACTGCCAAACGTTTTCTCCCTTGGGGCGAGGGTAAAGAGCTTACCCAGAGCTGTGTGAACGGTGCTGTGAGGCAGTCTTTGGTCTTTTACCCTTTGGGTCTTTTAACTGTCGCTTTTTCATGCCCGGCCAGGATTTTACTAACATTTCTAGCAAATTGCAAATTCGGTACTTGTCTTGGCGGCCTTTTTACCAGACAGCAGCAAACGATTCTGTATCAAAGAGCGGTACAGTCAAAGACCCTGGTCTTTAGGTGGCATTAAACATTTTTGGCTAGTGTCTTTAAACACCAGATTCCTGTACGTGCCAGAAGTATCCTGGAAATCAGACCAAAACTGTCAGAAACACAAAAGATGAAAACTGTGACACAAAATAATCTTCAAACCATTTTACAGTAAATATGTTAAAAAGTACATTGTACAATTTTTCATGATTTGGTGAACTTCATTCAACCCTGAGCAGAGCAGCTGAATTAGTCCTGTATTTGTAAAGCAACAAAGCGTCAACGCTGATCAGTCATAACTGCAAACTCGTAAGAGTTTACTCTTGACAGTGAAAAGCTTTATTTTTTTATTCCTCTCATCATTAATCATGTAACCATTAGATCACAGTACATTTTTCCACTTTTGTTTTTCAGCAGTTTCTAAATCAAAGCTGCAAATCTTAACGGCAACATGACATATTTAAAGGACTGAAAGAGTTATTCATCAAGCAAAGCTCAGATTGCTGCTAACGTACCAGATCAGCCTTTTGTGTCTGCTAATTATCTTGCACCTTTGGCACGAAAGCATTGATAGATGATAGCTGGAAATTAAGGGGGTTATGTTATTCAAAATAGTGCTTCTATTCTGATTAAAGATTAATTCAAAACCTGGGTCCAGATTAAAACCAAACTTTGCCCTCCAGTCAAGCCTAAATATCACGCCTTGTACTTAAAGGTGTGTTTCCATTGGATGGACTGAATAAGCTTCTCAATTTGCAGTTTGCAAAACTGAATGGATGGGTTGCAGTTTTTGATTTAAATTAATAATTCAAATTAAGGAGTCTGCCTCAAAACAATTAAACTGGACAGAGCATCGACTTCTTTAACAAAAACTGGAATCTCAGACAGGATATGAAGCATTTTGGATATTTTTTATAATTAAGGGACTTCAACACAAGACTTATTTCTTGCACTTTCATCTTCTCTGGTCTGTTAATGTAAAATATGCATTTTGTCATATGAAACAGTTTACTGTGAACCATGTTTTTGAGGAAGAACCCTTCATCTGAAGTTGAAGTACATTATGTATGTTTTGCCAGTGCATTTCGGATGATGGTACAAAAATGAAGTCAAGCAGACACTGGGGATTTAGAGAACTGACACTAATAAAGTATCACAGAGTTAACTGAGTTTGGAAAGACTACATCTTAAATCACCTGAAGACATTGAGGAAGTCTCTTTAAAATTGAAAAAACCTCACCTCAAAGGACACAATACTACAAGTCCAAAAGACACTTTCAGATACCCCTTTATTTAAGAAAAAAAATCATAAAGGGTAACATTCTCAGGCGAGGTGTTTATGTATATCAGGGACATTTCTTGCACCATTCCCAATATGAGCCACTGCTATCACATTTTAGGATTGAGAAGAGAATGCAATGCCATGAACGTGGGCTGACAGTATTCAAAAAAACAAAAGACACCCAGCACTATCTTTTTATATAGTATGTACAGACCTGCCTCCAATATATTAGAATTAGTAATATTTACAATGCAGCTTCAAGACCATTACGGGACTTTAATCATCCTGCAGATATTGCCATGCTTAGGGCTGCCACTCACAAACAGATGAAGTTCAGACTTTCTGTATAAAACAGTTGCACAGGCTCATGATCGCTTTAAGACAGTGGCTTTCTGGATTCTGTCTCTGACTGGGGGGGGTTCTCAGATTTTTCTGAGGTGAACTAATGAAATGCCAAGGGCAGATGGCCACATGTCTCCCGAGATCAGTGCCCTCTCACAGGTCTTGTCGCCACCCAGATTATTTGAGGGTTGCTTCATGCCAACCCCCGAGAAAAAGCCGCAGGTTTCAGCGAGAGGTCTGGCAATCTCGGTCTCCGGGACCGTCCTCCCCCGCTCAAGATCCGGGTCCGAACGTGCCGGTTTTCTCCGCAACTTCCAGAGCGGACTTCAGGTTCTGGTCAAAGAGTTCACACCTAAAGCAGGTGCAAAGCGGAAGAGGGGAAAAAAACAAATAATCAAGGAGATTTAATTGTTTCTTACTTTAGTTCTCCTCATGAATTCAGAGAACCGACGTCTCCCTAATATTTGGTATGTTTACATTTTCGTAACAGAACTGTACAATGTCTCGGCCTCCTGCATCCGTGAAGAAGGATGCAGGATGGGAACATAAGAATGGAAGTTACCGGATGGGCATCTCTAGGGAGTAGAAGGGGTTCTTGAGCGCGTAATCGGAGTAGATCTCGTAGATCTTTCTCAGGAGGGCGTCGATCCCTGACTGCCGGGGGTCAGCCAGGACTATGAACTTGATACCTGGGGAGCAGAGGTACAGGCCGTGTCTTTTAACAACTGAAAGGGGTTCTGCAATTCCACAGCTGGGCCCTAGAGGAAAGTGGCAAAAGAGCTAGTCTAATAATAATAATAATAATTGCTTACACTTATATAGCGCTTTTCTGGACACTCCACTCAAAGCGCTTTACAGGTAATGGGGATCCCCTCCACCACCACCAGTGTGCAGCCCCCACCTGGATGATGCGACGGCAGCCATAGTGTGCCAAAACACTCACTACACACCAGCTCTCAGTGGGGAGGAGAACAGAGTGATGAAGCCAGTTCACAGATGGGGATTATTAGGAGGCCATGATTGGTAAAGGCCAGGGGAAATTTGGCCAGGACACCAGGGTTACACCCCTACTCTTTTCGAGAAACGCCCTGGGATTTTCAATGACCACAGAGAGTCAGGACCTCGGTTTTACGTCTCATCTGAAGGACCCATCACTATACTGGGGCATTCGGACCCACACAGACCGTAGGGTACGCGCCCTCTGCTGGCCCCACTAACACCTCTTCCAGCAGCAACGTTAGCTTTTCCCCAGCAAGTCTCCCATGGTTTGGAGGGAAGAGCGCCACCTACTGGATCATCAGCTCAACTTGCAGCAGCAGCGCTAGCAGCCTGAAGTTCCTTCGACTGGTTTCCCACCTCCGGACAAGCTCAGTCTCCTCCGCTGCTCCACGGGGTGTGCACCGAACGACCCCATTCAAGCACAAAACGTTAGGAAAACGTCTCCCCCCCTCGTTACTCCTTCAGCTGCGCCTCCCGACCGCTCGCCTTCCTTACCTGTGAGGGTCTGGAAGCAGTGCAGCTTAAAAGTGTCCGTCTCCAGCATCTCGATGCCGGAGCTCCCGACCTCGGGGGACAATTGGGAACCGATGGCAAAAAGCCTAGCGAGAAGAAAAGAGGTTGGATGCGTCACCGAGGGAGATACGCGGCCTAAATCCATTTTATTTTTAAATAATTTTAAAGGGACGTGTCAAGCCTGCGCTCGCATCCCGCAGTCGGAGACCGTGTTACTTCCACACAAAAGGGCGACACAAGCGCTTCCACCCCATGAGAGTGGTTGGTTTATATTAAAACCCGTCCACTACGACCCGATCTGTAAGCCGAGGATGAATTTACTTCGGGGAAGGCTGGAGAAAAGGGACAGAGGCCGGGGTTGAGCACGTACGAGTGAAACATGGAGGCCAGCATCAGTTTCTCATTGGAGCTGAGGCGAGGTTTGCCGAACCGGATCGACACCGGGTAGCTGGACGGATCCTTCAGGTATTCAATGATCTCCTTCCCGTCCGCCGTATACCTCCCGTTGACATCCACGCCATTGACGGAGAGCACGGCGTGGCCCACTGCGAAGACAAAACGTAACGTAACTACACGGACAACACACCGCGGAGCCCAGCTGAACTCAGCCAGGGTCCGTTGCAGCCCGGGAGGTTCACGAAACCGAGATTCAGAACAAACTGCATGTACGACACATTGTAATGTGGGCTCAGTCCGCGTATTTACATGCATTCCACTCCGAGTCTTTCATTTTACAACCTGATGGCAAAGCACAACAGGCCACGAATTCGACCGCAGCGTTTCTTCCTGCAAGTCTCTCACCTCGGATCCCGTCCCGCTGGCCGAAGGACACGATCACTCTCTCATCGTGAGTCTTCAGCACAAGATCCAGAGGATAGCTGAAGGTTTTTTCGGCTTCCGCTCGGGGAACGTAGTTGTCATACTGATAGATAAGCCCGCCAGCTTTATTTACTACATACACACTAAATATCGCCATGTTTACTCTGACGCTCCGCGCAGCTGAACGCAACCCCGTCACACGTCGCTGCACGGTGGGCGTGATTCTCTAGTTAGAAAACTGCATTTCCCAGCAGGCTTTTCACGCGTACATTGTACTTCCGGCAAGCGCGGAAGCACGGGGTTTCCTAAGGGGCTCGTGCAGGGGCTTTCTTCCTTTCTGTCCGACATCTTGACGCTGCAGCATCATGGTGAGGACTCTGGGGGTGTTTTGCAGTGGAAAAGTGACCCTTTTCGTTCACGGTGGCCGTTCATTTCTTCCTTAGGGAGCTGCAATATTTGGAGAGTTTTCAGATTCGCGGAAAGGGGCTCTGGTGGGGTTATAGAAGCTCTTTAAAACGAACCTTTCAGGCCAGGGCTGGCTGGCACATTGCTTGCGCGACAGCGTGCTGTCAGGCCTGCAGATGTTTAACGTGTTCAAAACATTTTAATTCGGTTCTGAAATGTGAACGACCCTAGCGCTATCCGAGAGCTGCTGCTAGCACAGCCGGAGCTGGTGGTATTAGCGCTTGCTGATGTTCACTAATTCACATGAAAATCCCCTTGTCTATAGGAGCAGACTTTCTCCCACCACCGAGCCGAGTAGATCAGAATAAGATAGATACTTTCTTGATCCCGTGAGGGAAATTGCAGAAGAAGTGATGACTTTGAAACGTTTCTTACAAAACGTAGCTGTGGATGATCGCGTGGATAGAGGTGATTCTGGCGCAGTATCGCTGGTAAACGACACATTCAAAAATACCAGCATTCCAGCAGGTAAAAAAAAAACGTCCTGTATAAATCAGAGTAGATTTGTGCGATGGATCAGGTCTTGCTCTAAAAGTTACGGCAGGGTTTTTCCCCCAATGACCCGTGCGAATGGGAGACCCCTAGAAGACGGCCATTGAAAACGCCCGTGTCTCCCTTTTCCTCCTTCAGCCTCCTAAGGACGACAAGAAGAAGAAGGATGCGGGCAAGTCCTCCAAGAAGGACAAGGACCCCGTCAACAAGTCCGGAGGAAAGGCCAAGAAGAAGGCAAGTCGCTTCACTCCGACCTCGCGTTAACGTGTCCGGCGGTGCTGCAGTAATCATTCTGTGAAATGTTGACTTAAGCAGAATGGGTTTCCAAACGCTGGAAGTTTATGGTTGCGTGTATTTTTTTTTTTACCTTTGTTATGCTGAAGGGTGAGGCAGTGGTTAGGCATTTCTGTTTCACAGTGTAGGGACCCTGGGTCTAATTCTTGGGGTGCTGTCTGTGTGGAGTTTGCGTGGGTTTCCTCCGGGTGCCCCAGTTTCTTTCCACAGTCCACAGACATGCCGGAGGATGAATTGGCTTCTGGGACAGTTGTCCCTGGTGTGAGTGTGTCAAGTCCTGCGATGGACTGGCGTCCTGTCCAGGGCTTTTCCTGCCTTGTGCCTGTTGCTTGCTGGGATAGACTCCTGCTCCTCCACAGTCCTGTGCTGAATAAAGTGGCCAGACAGTCAGTGGATAGGTGATGCTATGCTGTATTTCCAATCTCCTGTTATAGCCTGACGTGTCTTTTTCAGAGCACAGAGGAATGACACTATGGGAGATTTTAATTTTTTAACCATGATTATTTTACTCCCCAGGAAACATAGTTTAGCCTCTTTCTGTATGGAATTCTCTTAATTCCCCCTTTTTCTTTGCTGGTAAAAGCTCTCTGTGTGATCTGTTTTGTTTTAAGGGTTTGAGGTAAGGTACAGGGTGAGACAGAGCTGTTGCTGGGTTCTTAGATTACCATCTTTGTTGAAGGGTTTGAGATCAGTGTGTTAAGAGTGCTGTAAAGTACATGTGGAGGCACGTGCTCCCTATATGTGATATGCTAGTTTGCTGTAAGGAAGGCAGCAGTCTGTAGGAAATCAGAAATGGTGAAACTTGGAGGAATTGACAGCCACGCTTTGAGATAACCAGCTGTTTTCTTCTCCTCTCTTGAGCAGAAGTGGTCCAAGGGGAAGGTGAGGGATAAGCTCAACAACCTGGTCCTCTTCGACAAGGCCACCTACGACAAGCTGTACAAGGAGGTGCCCAACTACAAGCTCATCACGCCTGCCGTGGTCTCTGAGAGACTGAAGATCAGGGGCTCCCTGGCCAGGGCTGCCCTCCAGGAGCTGCTCAACAAAGGTACGGTCCCTGCGCTCCCCTGCTCTCGGTAAGGGGCGGAGAGTGGGACAGACCCAGCCTTCCTGGGGCCCTGGCTGCATCTCTGCCCTGTTCTGTTCTTCCTGCGCGTTCTGCAGCTATTCTTGTCCCCCACCAGATCTGGCATTTGTCAGGATTACGGATAGAACCCAGACATCTGTCCATTAATAAATTGTCCATCTGGGGCTTGGAGTCCCGGGCTGGTGCTGATGGAAGATTGATGGGTTGCTCCATGCAAGTAGGGTTTATCTGGAGGTCATGGCGGGATGGAGGTCCAGAGGTCTAGATGACTTCCTAGACTGAAGAACGGCAGCCCTGACCTGAGTTATTCGAGTTCGCCTCCCTGTCTCTCGTTCGGTCTCGTTGCACAGATTGAATCTTTTTTTTGATGGTGTTTTCTTCTCCACTCTCCCTCCTAGGAATGATCAAGCTGGTTTCCAAACACAGAGCACAGGTCATCTACACACGAAACACCAAGGGCGGCGACGCTCCTGGGGACGAGAAGGAGGCATAAGCAGGTGAGAGTCTTGCACCCCCTGTTCAGTGGAGATCGTCGAGGTCCTGGAGCCCTGCATTCTCCCTGGAGCCCATTGTCCACCCGTCTTCTCACGCTGTTAAATCTGTTCAGCTCTTGCAGTTTCTCAATATTCTTAATATTTCATGTGGGTCCGTTGTTGCAGCGAAACGGCTGGTTAACCAGTTGGTTTTGATGGTTTAAAATGTAGCGAAGTGGTTTTATGGTCCATTTTTAAGTTTGTGCTCCTGTATCGTCAAGATCTTAGGTGTTGGCATACTGTACTTCAGGGTGCTTAACTGACGGTTTAAGGATGTGTAACATTACTGCAGTTTCACACTAGCAGCAGCTGATACTGCACAGAACATAAATGTTCAATCTGAGTTTGTCTTATACTGTAAAGAGCCAAGGGCAGCAGTGCCCCTTGTCCATCAGAGATTCTCTAAAGGTTCTGTTGAATGTTTGCATGCCATGTGAAAGTCCGATTCATTACTGGGTCCTGCAGGCTGAAGTTTGGCACTATTTTGGCTGGCTTTGTTTATGGGGGAAAAGAGTAAATGTTTCTTCAGTTGAATCTGTGCGGTGTTGGAAAGTTGACTTAAGATCTGCTTTTTGTTTTTTACAGATAATGCATCTTGGATACCTGTGAAGATTTTGTTGGTATTGTATAAATAAAAAGAAAACTAAATCTCTGTGGTGGTGCAGTGTTTTTGTTTTAGTTATTCTTGTCTGGGTTTGGGAGGTTTCTTCCTGATTTTGTCCTTGGAAAGCCAGTATTTGACAGTGTTACAGACCAAGGAAGAGTTGAGCACTTTGGGACTTTGGAATAAAAATCCTGATGACTTAAAGAGCAGAGATGGATAACTTTTTTTTTATCAGAAGTGATCCACAACTCATTTCAAGAGGGTTAGAATCCAGATTTTTACAGGTTGGTTTTACCAAGACTTCACATTGTCTTTGTAACCCCATTTTCTGGTGGTTTTAGTTTGCACTGCGTTCGGTTCAGTTAGGTAATGGATGTTTCAAGAAGCAAGAACAGAAAACAGATGGCCCACCTGAATCAGAGTTGTGCACCCCTCATTCAAGGACCCCAAAATCTAACATTTTAGAATTTTCAGATCTGGGAGTATCCAGCTTATTTCTATAAAATAGAGTAAGGTCGAAAAGTATTGTACCCTGGGTTCCTATTGGAAAATCCTGTCTTAGGGTGCGAGCTGGAGGTGTCCATTCCTTGTCCTGGAAGGCTGATATCTCCAGACTGTTCTTCGGTCTCTCTGAAGCTTCCAGCGCCTGAAAAGCTGGGAATAGCAATGGTAGTCATATGGTGAAGCTATGAACACCTCTCCTGGAATGAAAATGTGAAATTGACATGCCCTCGAGGCCAGCAAGTGGACATCCATTAAATCCTATCGGGCATTTAGTGGGTGATTTAAATCCTTGGGATTAGTGGAGTGATTGAAAAATGAAAGGATGTAACCTTTGACCTTGGGACATGAGCACATGGAAAGGATATGGCTTCCTGCAATATTGAGATGAATTGCGGGGTTCATTTAAATACTTGAAGAAGCGGAGGACTTGGGAGATTTCACCTTCACTGCAGACATTGTAACAAAAGGGTTAAACAACTTTGAAGTGATTTCACCCTGGGGGATGTGCAGTATACATTTTAACATTTTTATACAATTCACGTGCAATAAGGTGTATTGGGCAAGCTACTGAAGCTTCGATGTCTTGCATTTTGAATGTGAAAATACCCACTGAAGGATTTGAATTTGGCTTGTTCAAAATGTTCAAATATTAAAAGAGTGATCACGTGGGGTAGGGTTAGTAAACCTGTGACAACTGAATCACAGTTCCAAGGCCAAATTCTTTTTGCCACCGATGTAAACAGAAATATCATAACTGGGAACTTAAGGTTTTTAAGGAAGCAGAACTTAAACCATCATTTTAAACACTGCTTTAATTAATTCCATCTAAATACAATTGCTAATTCAGTTAAATGACATTAACTTCCAACTTATTTACAATGACATTTACACGGATGCATTCAGAGGGGGAATTCTATACTTGTTTTGTAAGAACGTGTTACCGCTCTGAAATACGGAGCCTTCCTAAACACTTCGAGCGGTCGTGGGGTGTAGTTCTGGGCTCGGTTACGATGCCCGCTTGCAGATGTCTTGTGGGGTTAACGCCATGCCGTGTTGCGTGAGGAGACCCAGCCAGTTCTCACTGAGGGCCCTGCAGTCGCGGTTTCTTTCTCCCTTTCCGCTGATCGCCTCTGGCTCTCTTCCGCTGGGCCAGCTCGCCTTCCTCAGCCCTGAACTGGTGCCTGGTGACGAGGACAGCGGGTCAAGAGAAGTCACCTCGAACCACTCTGGCTTCACGAATACATTCATCTTTCCGAACCCCTCATGACACATGAACAGATGATTCCTTGTAACCATCGCGGGTGGCACTGTTCTTTTGTAGCTCGGCAAGGAAAATAATCAATCAATCAATCAAGGTTTATTTATCAATGCACGAACAAAACAGCACACAGCAGTGTTGTCAGCAATTAAATGCTTTATCCGTAAGCTGGTTAAGAGGGGATAGAAGAGTAGAAGGACTGAAGTCTATAGGGATAAGGTTAAGATTGCGACACAATAAATTATACAACTGCTATTTCAAATAACATTCCGGATTGTGAAAATATGTTTGTTAATAATTACATTTCGCTTGGTCAAAACAGAATTAGAGGGGTCTCCCAGGAGCATTAGGCTCAGGAATAACAACAGGGGACACATCTGGTGTAAAATAAAGAGCAACAGGCCCAGTGAACAGACTCTGCCAGTGATGCCAAGATGCCAGTCTCACCTGGACTGCCACCTCCTGCCGCTGTTCCACACCCTGCCGAAGGAGGGCAGCCAGCCGGCGTCCGTCTGCGAGCTGTGGTCGAAATTGGCCCCCACGCGGTGGGCAGGCAGTTTCCGCAGCTTCTCCTGCTCCTCTGAGAGAGAGGGGGGGGGGTGGACCGCCATCACTCGCCAGCTCTGCACCGCGTCTGCGTCCTAGACTACCCCCCCCTCCCCAGAGCAGCGCCCTCCCACCTCCCTGAGAACCAACCTCCCCGATCCAAAATGATTCATTTCCCACGAGCCCCCTCCCTCCCACCAGTCCCCTGTGCGGGGGGACTTGTCCTGCTTGGGGACGCCGCTGTCACACCGGGCCACTCACTGCGTTTCAGGAACTCCTCGTGGGACGGGCCTATCTCTCGCCCGCCCCCCCGGGACCCCTCCTCCTGCGGGTCGTCCTGTAGCCAGGGAGGGGTGGCCCCTAAAGGGGACAAGGAAATCAGATGGGCCAGGCTGCAGCTGTAACACAGCCCTGCATGGAGCACACTTTTTAGCTTGAATATACTACCTGTATGGATGTTTCCTCCGTTAGATGCATCCTGCAAAAGAACAAAATGCAAGCAGTGAGCATATCTGGCATTTTATAGGATTTCAATAATGATCAACAGCTTCAACTATCCGTGCCAGTAAAAAAAGAATTTAGTATAAAGTGAAACATTTTCTCCTCATGTAATGGCATTTCCAACTAAGTCATGAAATGAATACCGTTGATGGAGTCTGCTAGCAGAATCTGTATGTTGCTCTGTACCCATATAGTGGTAGGAGCTGTGAACTCCTGCTGAATTCACATGGTAAACTCTAACCTTCACACTTGCTTTTGCACAGATGCTTCTCCCACCCTGTACTAAACTCCCCGATGGGGATGGGATGTTTCTACTAAACTCCGGATAAGGAAGGAATGTTTTAAGTGCTTTCTGAGTCCTGGAGTTTCTTGAGAAAGCCACCTCAAATACAGGAGGGGGAGGGTGTAGAGAAAAGTATATATAAGCTGTGTAGAGCCATATCCCCTCTGAGCAATACAGCAATAAGCCTGAAATGTGTTGCTCCTTGTGTGCCTACAATAAAGCTTGGCTTGAAGAACGGACACTTCAGGCTCGAATCTCTTGGTTTCTACACCGTGAAATAGGCATCGCAGCTCTCACTGCCAGACTCAGCAGGCTGCGTGCTGCAGCTGTACCTGGTGGCCAATGAAGGTTAAGCTCAGTGCTGTTCCTGCCCAGACAGTGTCCTCTACAGGCCCTGTTTCCTGGGGGCTGGTCAGTTCTGCTGGCCTCCACGTTCCACAGTGTGAGCTGCTCCCAGCGCTGAAACAGGGTTAGACCATCCTCACATGCGTCAGGGAGCTGTGAAAATTGCGCCGGCCTGCCGGAAGTACTATTCCCACACTTCATACTTGCAAGCACACGAGTTTCTTCGGAGCTACTTCAAAAAAAACTTGTACGCAGTTAACTTTTAAGATGGAGAGTTGCCTAGGCATTCCTAAAACATCTCGGAAGAAAACGAGAAACGGAAAGTGGACAATCACACTCTTTCGAAGAAATACCTGGCACTAATTTCATCAGTCTTTACAAATGTCCCACATTAACTTGCTAAATAAAACGCTAATAATAATAATAATGATGTTGCTTTATTAGCCCTATACAATTTCTTGCATTAGGAATTTGTCTTTTCGCATACCCCAGCTTGCCCTCCATGAGACACACAGACAGAGAGAGAGAAGCTTGGGGTCATTGTACAGCGCCCCTGGAGCAGTTGGGGTTAAGGGCCTTGGTCAGGGGCCCAACGGAGTAGGATTCCTCTGCCGGCTGCGGGATTTGAACTGGCAACCTTCCAGCCACAGGTACAGATCCTTAGCCACAGAGCCACCACTCCGCCCAACGCTACTACTGCTCCAAATGTGAGAGGGGATTCCATTTCAAATGCGACCAGAGTTCCCTGGCATTTTCTGTATCGCATGTGTGGGGTGATGTTCTGAGCACAGGGGCTCGTTTTTGGAGTGGGTGCTCTTTCGGTGTCTGGACTGCGGCAGTGGGTCTCTCACCTGGCCTCGTCGTTCCAGGAGTCCGGCTGGGTCAGTCCGTTGGGGATCTCCCGCTCTGTCTCAGGCTGGGTTCGATTCAGGAAAAGTCAACAATGGCTGCTTTCTCTCGCTTTATAACCGAGACCATTTCTTTTTTAAAAAAATCTTTAGCAACAGTTAACAGGAACACCAGACAAAACTAAACACGGTTTTCTTGTTCCCCTAGACAAGCTGATTCAGCAAAGAACAAAACAAAACATGGTGGTGAAGATGAAGTTTTAAAAAGCATAATTTTTACATCATACTATAAAGAAAAATAGTCATACAAGCAGACTACATTTGCACTGTTTAAAATTATCTGTCCCCCATAATGGTATTTTTTTTCTTAAATGGTATTTTGCTTGATTTCTAAACTTGGAGAGAGTTGTCCCCTCATCCCTGTGAATGCTGGAATGAAATAATGAGCCCGTTTCCTCGCAATGAAGGCCAAAGAGAAGGGTGCTTTTTACAAGTGAGTGGATACTCTTCAGGTGCGTCCTGGGAAAACCAACCTCTAAGAGAGACTGCAGGATTTCTTGCCTCTGCTTCTCCACAGCTTGGATGTGGGCAGCTTGCTTGGAGGAGACACAGAGTTGTATTTATTATGGATAGGGAGCATCAAGAGCAATGGATCGGTATCAATTAAAATATTCCCCAAAAGAACAAATTAATCTGTCTCGACAAAGTACTGAAGGGATCCAAGATAACTGTGTGATTTTTTTTGTCATATACACAATGACAGACAAATATATTCTTAATATAACCATACATTTTAAGTGCCTCATTGATCATACAGCCATTTCAATACCTCTTTAGTCCAATACAGGGTTACAGTCAGCCAGAGCCTAACCTGGCACACATTCACTTAAACAGGGGGACATCTATTGACTGAAGGCACCATGTCCTGCCATTGCAACAAGAACATGCAAACTCCATTGCCGAATGTGACCCAAGCTGGAAAGGAAGAGCTGTGAGACCGCAGCGCTAAACACTACACACCCATGCTGTTTCCCAGACGATCAAGCCTTTAAAAGTGTAGCTTTCTGCAACACCCAGAATCCCCACCATTCTCCAGCACAACAGGCAGAAGGTGGCAAATACCTGTTTGATGTACTCGTCTTCCTTTTCCTCGAAGGCCTCCAGAGCTTTTGCCACTTCCGCCTTAAACCTTTGCCGTCGGCATCAAAAGAAATGAAGCGACATTTTCACATCCCCTTAGTTGACCAGGACCCTTTCAGAAATCGTTTGTTACAGAAATTCACAAAATGTCCTGAGCAGCAAATACGGATGTTCTTCCTTAAAATTTCTACTGTGTCTTCAAAATGCCAGGAAACACCAGAACTACTACTGAACGAAAGGTCTCCTCTTGTTTCTAGCCTTTCTCATGTGTACATTTCCGCACTTTCTATCGAGTGTAGATTTCCCCCTGATCTTTCAAGCATGAACGGGGTGACCTTGTCATTACCTGTCGGTCTCATCCTCGGTGACAAGAAACTTCTCCTTCAGCTTGAGGTCGGCTTTGTTCTCCCACCAGAACCGATTCGTGCTCTTTCTGTGTTCCTGGCTGGAAAAGGAACGGGACAATGTGACACACACACCCAAGATGGCTTCCTGCTGTGGTTTCTTTCTACCCATCTCCCAGACTCCAAGCTAGTGCTTGACCCTTCCTCTGAGGACACAAACAAAGTTGGCTCAGTTCTCCCCCCCGGAATTCAATAAGTTCTACAACATCCCTAAGTAACATTCACTCTTCTTAACGGGCCCAGAAGAAGATGAACAGTCGATTGTTTGTAGGCCTTTTCGTATTCAATTAAGTGCCTGTGAAACCCACCCAAAGAGTTGACGGAATTATTTCTCAACTTTGCATGTTGAGAAAACTGTTCGGCAGAAGGAATCCCAAGTCCAAGAAGTGCCAATAGCACACATAGTGAATAATAATAATAATTCTTTACACTTATACAGCGTTTTTCTGGACCTTTTCTAAAACCAAGGTCCTGACTTGTGTGGTCTTAAAAATCCCAGGGTGTTTATCGATAAGAGTAGGGGTACAACCCCGGCGTCCTGGCCAAATTTCCCCCTGGCTCTTACCAATCATGGCCTCCTAATAATCCCCATCTATGAACTGGCTTCATCACTCTGTTCTCCCCACTGATAGCTGGTGTGTGGTGAGCGTACTGGTGCACTATGGCTGCAGTTGCATCATCCAGGTTGGGCTGCACACTGGTGGTGGTGGAGGGGATCACCATTACCTGTAAAGCGCTTTGAGTGGAGTGTCCAGAAAAGCGCTATATAAGTGAAAGCAATTATTATTATTATTGTAACTCTGCAGCCTGTGCCCACACACCAAGAGCTGGGTGAGGGTGAAAGCCACTGCAATACTCTGAGTCACCAGCAGGGCGAAGATGCGAGTTGGGGGTCCTGTGTGGATTCTTAAGCAACCAAGCGCACCGATGGAGAATGTTGCCGCTCAGTTGCAGATTCTTCCAGTGGGCTCACCTGGCCAGGTGTTCCAGCAGCCCCCCGTGCAGCACCGTCAGGTTGCCATTGGTAACGTGTCTCCGCACCTCCTGCCCGCAGCAGTAGCACCAGACGTGGCGCTCGTGCTCAGTGGGGTCGAACTTCTCCACCCGCGGGCTCTTCAGGCACCGGCGCGCCTCCTTCACCTGCAAGGCGGCGACAGGGCCCCGAGTGACTGACCACTCTTCGGATGTCGCGATTGCAAGGCGAAGACGCGCACGGATCGGGACTTTTCCCCTTTCAAACTGACTGAATGAGATACATTTGCAATGCATTCAATTTAACCGGCACCGTGAAGATTATGACTGTTATTCCGTTTATATTGACTTCTTATTCTTGCGCGTTATATTTGCATCAAGTGAAATGGTCAGCGAAGAGTCCTATGTTTGAACATTTTAAAATGGATGTAATGGCGCATTTGGCGACTATTTCGAAGTGTAAAAACATGAAAGCGGTGCGGACCTTATCTTTATTTACTCCGTTTAAATTTTTTTCATAATGTGCATTTGTATTGAAATATATACCCCTGACGATGTTATTGATATGTTGCATGTACTCGTTTGTATTGTAGTTGTACCTATTGGTTAAAATAAAAAGTTGAAAAAATGTTATTCCATTTATTTTAGCTTTATTATACATTCATTAAATGCAGTTTTATTCTTCTGCAATGAACAGATTCAATATCTATTTAATAAATGGTATGTAATAAAATATTACACACCTTAGCTTCACTATGAATACCACTTGGAATTGATGGTAGATCCCACAGCAGTAAAGCGCAGTAATGCCCCATAATGTGGTTATTTAGATCCCTGTCTCCGTTGCTGAAGCATTTACAGCATATCACCATGTTCCTACTTACCTTATCCAGGAACTTGGAAAGGACAGCTTTCAATTTGTTCTGGTGCGTTTTTGCATACATGTGTCCTTTTCCTGCGAAAGAGGTCTGCTTGCACACGGAGCAGTAAAACGCACCCATGACCTGGAAAACTACTTCTGCCAACAGTGATCTTGCTTTTATAGTTTTGTAAGTATTCGCTACAAACCCTAAGCAGAAAGTCACCCAGCTCACCAAATTGCAAACTCTTAAAATATTTAGGCCTACATTACAAACTCAGAAAATGAAATATTTAGTCGATGCAAAACTACATCGACTGCTGTAACCACCTGTTTCCACTATCTTGGAAAGCTCGACCCGAAATATGATTGCTTCTTTTTCTTCGACTGGTGAATCGGTCCAGTCAGAATCGGTATTTCTTTGGCAGGTTTAAAATTATACCCCTACAGCAAATCGTACAAGTGTAAGCGTTTGGATGTTCAAGAAATCCTTCCAATCGTTGGTTCGCGAAAGAAAAAAAAAGTACACACGATTTCTCGGACAGTTCATGTTTCACCGTTCATTCCCAGAAAATGATATAAAAATCGACTTCCGTAATTATTACCTTTGACCTCGGCACCGCCGGATGCGCACGATAGGGCCTCACCAAGCCTGTAGTGCCTCTAGCGGTGAGGATGAATTACACTTCTCCAGGTAACTCGACCGTGGTTTTATTTTTCAGTACGAGACAACTGTTTTTCAGAGATTTATTTTCGGTTATATTTGGTAGCTTCGTTTTTTTTTTTAAATCGGGTTTGGTCAGCTTTAATGCCTTGTCGAGCACTTAAGGCAGGACATACCGTTGACAGACTGATAAGTATGTCCTCAACGGACAACGGTTGTTGACACCGACAGTCCTCCTCTACCACAGTCACATTAAAAACTGTCAATGAGTATTTTTAGAAGGTTACCCCCCCATCTGTATAATATTTCCTGACACAATAACGTTTAAAATGGTATTGTAACGCAACGGAGTTCAGGTGGGCGCCCTTGTTACAGTGTTCTTGAGTAATTTTGTTTTCATTTAGTATTTCCAACCTCGTATCAGGAGAGAGGTATGTGAAATATGTTGTTCCCATTGGAAATGAATGTTTTTTTCCCCCAGAAAAATTAGCAATTTTTAAATAAAATGGGTTCGGGTACACGCAGCCTCGGCCCCTCTCTTACTTTAAAAGGAGGATTATGCGCAACTGAAAAATAATTTAAATAACTTTTTTAACTAAATCTTGCACTCCACTAAAATACACTTCAATCATGTCTTAGGGTCGGTCTTGCAGTTATTTACAAAGCCACCGTTTTTAAAGTAACTGATAAGGAATTATTTCCTCACGTAAAACTAGAGACGGCGTAGGTAAGTATAGGGTATCTGGCCGTAGCGAGTCCTATATTTTAAATTTTGAGTGAAACCGAAGCATCATTTTTGCTCGTTTGGGGGTGGTACCCGCGATGTTTGGTGATGTATGCGTGGGAGGATTTAGAGATTCCTACTCAATTTAGAACAGGATGATAAACATTAACGTACGACTAAACCTTTTATTTATTTATATATATATAAAAAAAGACTGCACACAGCCACCCAGCGTTTAAAGTACGTACGGAAAATAATGGGGAAACAATAAACCAACAGCAACCGCACAACACTGCTGTAAACGGACATTTAGCGACTGTGGTCTTTACGAAAATGCGGCCCTCATAAATCTAAATGCCCTTCTGCAGTTCTCACACTTAAATCTACAAAAAAAAAAAAGGATATTGCATCTTCATAATCAAATATATAAATAAATTTAGAACAAACGAGTAGGTTTAACACAGAAAAGTCAAAAATAGATAATAAACGGACATCAGGAGCAGTCTTATCAGCTGCCATTTCATAGAGAAGGACAAACGGCTCTCATTCCGGTCAGCAGCTTGGGACTGGAGGCCTGCTGGCCTGTGGGCCGGGGTCCCCACCCGCTTAGGGCACATCAACGTCATTCCTTCAGATCCTGGTGCCTAAAGCTCAAATAAAGTGCGAATCATTCCTGGAAAGAAACAAGACGGGGATAAGAGGGAACCTGGAGAGTTCTCGGGTTCAATTCTCTTGAGCGTTTTAGACCAACACAGATGGTCAAGATGGGGCCACGCAACAGAGAAACCAGGACAGAAGGCACTATTTACAAGCGAGTAAATACGTTTCTTTAAAAAAAAAAA